ATTTGTTTGTTACAATGAAATTTGATGTTTTTCTTAAAAATTAATAGAGGATGAAATTAAGAGATCTGGTGGAACATTGTTTCTCGTATTATGTATTTGAGACTTGAGTAATTATCTATTATTATGATATCTTTCGTTTGCAAATATTCGTTGTTTAAAGTATTATCTATTTTTATATATGTGTAGTACATCTGAAAAACGGAAACACAAGTATTTTATTATCCTTTATGATTTCGTAAACTTTAGAGAACATTGGGGAATTTTTCTTCTTGACGTCAAGTGAAATTTTTGAGAATAGTTTAGGTTTCAATTATTGTTGAGACAATGGGGCACAGAAAAATGTGTAAAAGGACTTTTCATAGTCTATTTGAAATGTAGATCGAAACAAAGGAATAAGTGAAGCGTATAATTAGAAAGTAATCGAAATATATAAAATATAAAGGGGTACAAGAACAGGAAAAGTATTGATTCTAAAAACGAAGTTTACTAGCCAAATTGGCCGGTACAAAATCTATAATAAGCTCGTAATCGTATGAGGTCACAATGCGTCTTGAACAGACATGTTTCACGTCATTATGATTTAGTATTTGGACAGGTTCCTGAACCTGTACTATGAGATATACCCCTTTCGGGGAAAATTACGATTACAATGCAGCCATTTTTTATATTTGGTTGCAATAATATTCGCATATATTTCGTTAAAACAATTCTCATACATTTATAAAATTTATTTGATCAACAATGCATGTATTATCTTTTTTATATCTCTTTCCTATTACTTAGTGCTAATTAATTAATAATTAATCATTCCTTCACAAAATGAATATGCAATTTGATGTGTAGTTTTTCTTTATTATAAATTAGTACAAACCAATTTTATTTTCCTTTGTGGTGCATAAAAATCATTGTCGTGATTTAAAATAATGTTTAGACATTGACGAAACAAACTTTCCTTCGTCCCTCGTAAATTAAATGTTTTTAGAATAAATCTCTTTCGTATATATTTCAGTTTATCTAAGCGTTGCTTTCCAAATCAATAATTTTAAAACCATTATGATATTTCTGTAAAAATATTTGCATTAAATTATTTATGTTTATCAAAATATTTATTTGATAAAAATTCTTTAAGTATCATATTATTTTTTTACAGGCTCGAAAAATCGAAGAACACAAAAGAAAGAAGGAACGTAAAATACAAGAAAAATTAGAACGTGAGAGACAAGAAAGATTGAGGAAAGCTCGAGAGAGTGCAAAAATTTATGAAGAAAACACTCGTACCTCCCAAACTGATTCTAGCGGTGATACTGCTGGAATGGGTGACTTTTACAAATTTTTAAACGATCCAGATGTTCTCCAAGCTTTTATGGTAAATCTCTATTAATCATTCATTTCACTATCGTTTAAATATCGTTCAAATATTTATATATCATGTATAAAATAAATTTTCATTTGTACATATATTTAAATTATAATTAATCGATTAATCGATATTGTATAAAATGCAAATCTATTTATCTATTTTATAATGTAAAATTCTTAATAACTAACTATTACATAAAAATAGTAACTATTACAAAATATTTTATTATATATATATTTTACATATTTACCGAGACAAATAGTAAAATTATCGGACATAAAACCACATGATCAAAATCTAGAAGAATTAAAATTAACTCAACAATTCTGAAATATATAATAAACAATTATTTTTCCTTCAATTTTTTCTTAATTTATTCATAAAATTATTCATTGTGTGTATTCTAACAACATATTAATAATAATGCACAATATTATAGTTGTCACTCTCACATTACGAAAAAGATTATATTGCTCATATTATTACTTTTTATTTTTCAGGATCCTGAAGTAGCTGAAGCTTTTAAAGAAATTTCTACAAATCCGACAAATATTTTGAAATACCAAAGCAATCCGAAGATTATGGCATTTATTAATAAGATGGCTTCAAAATTCGGTGGAGCTGGTGGATTTCCTGGTATGATGGGTGGTATGCCTGGGTTCCCAGGTGCTGGCACACAAACTACTCCAAAACCAAAACCACAGGACGACGTTGGTCTTGATTAAATCTGATATGCTTTGTTATTGAAATTCCGTTTCAATTTATTCTCAAATAATTTACAAGGCTCTGAATACTTGTTCTAAAGTGATTGTTATGTCAAATGATGCGGTGTCTTATTAAAAAATACTAATGAATTAAGCGAGCTAGAATTTAGAAACATGTATATCTTCATTGTCATAATGATATTTTAAAAAAAAATTTATATATTTCAAAATCATCTTAAAAAAGGAGCATAATTATAAAGATCCTCTTTTATACAGTATTTCTCGTTTAAGGTTGAAATTTTTAATTCACTTGGTCATCAGTTCCTGGAACTGCTTCCATAGAATTAATGTTCATATTATTTTTGATCTGTGATCGACGGTATCTCGGAATAAGAGTTATCTAAAATATTAAAAATAATATTTCTTTTATTCTCTGATGCATCAAAAAATAAATAAATAGCAGAATGTCTAATTCCTAGAATGGTATTTCCCTTGGTAATTATATGATCTTCGATCATAGTGGAATAGGACTTAAATTAATAAATGACTAAATAACGGGGAATATTGTATATAATCCAAAGATATTAGAATTGTATTTTAAATATGGAATATATCGATGCCTGTTATTCTTTAAACGTCCAATTGACTTCTTAAATAGTAATGGAATGATATATATTAATGAACAAAACGATTGATTTTAAATGAAGAAAGATTTCACTTTCTTATTTTTTATGCTTCTTTGTCAAATCTAAAATGTTTATTATATGATAATGCATTCTAGAATAATGAGTAATATTAGAATTTATTTCTTTTAGGTTTATACGTGTGGATTTTTTCTTTTTTCTTTTTTTTTTCCATTCAACTTCTTATATATCTTCATTAATCATATGATAAAGCATTTGTTTGTTAATGAATTTTTAATTGTTTTCTATTACTTAACTTTATATTTGCTTCATATCACTAACTATATTAAATTTTTCATATATACAATAAGCATTTTGTTCAGTTTGCTTGACTCAATAGGGAACGAGTATGATTTTATACGATACAATTACAATTTAAAAAAATCTCTAAATAATCTTTTTCTTTTTCAAAATTAAATAAATATATATATGAAATTAATTATTGATGCGAAAAATAATGTTACAATTTCATTAACTATGAAAAATACATTATCCTAAATTATACGTATATATATATATATATATGAAGAGACAAAGTTAAAAAAAAAAGAATGATTTTAGTAAATTTGATAATATAAAGATGTATATTGTAAAATATTTCCTATGAATTGGTAATCTTTCTATGTAATTCATAAAAATTTTTCTAAAAATTAAATTTTTAAACAAATTTTATTAATTTGGTATGATACTTCTCATGTTTGTTTATTGTTTTTATTTAGAAATCTATTAATATTTAAAAAATATTCATTTATTCACCAACAAGAAAGTCCTTTTTTATTATAATTTAATGAATATTGAACGAACAGTGTGAGTTGAGCAGCTAACGAATAATATATTGCTTCGAATATATTTCTGTTGAAATATAAACTGTTATATAAACGATGTATCGCGAATTCAATAAATGCATCATACAATTCTGTGTAAATATCAATTCTTATTTACCACAGAAAAATTGATAAAATACAAATTAATATGTACAAAAATATCATTTAATTAATAAAAATCACAAATACTTCAATTTAAAAAAAGAAAGACAACAAAACAAAAGAAAGGGAAAAAATAAAACAAAAGAAAACTGCATGATTGCGTCTCTGTATCCAGCAATAATAAGGGTAACGCAATCTCAATGGCTAATAATATAACAGTATTCACATGACTTGCACAATAAATAAATTCTTACACATAAATTCTTATAACGATAATATTGCACGTAAAATGAAAAGGTACTGTATTCTTAGGGATAATTTTTACTCGCTTTGATACTTCTATAATTATACTAGGAAGTAATTTTTAGCGTCCTCAAGGTAATTTCTTTCATAGTTTGAGCTATAATTTTTCGATAATTTCTGATTCATTTTAATTTACATATATTTTCCTTTGAATATCGATGAATTCTTAAATATATCAGTTTATTTATAAAAATAAATATCTATTTACATAGATAGTATAACGCATTTTATACATTATTCATTCATACGAAAATACATAAAAATATTGAAATTGAAATCATATGTTCATAAACGCAGATTATTGACTTTAATAACGTTACTTTTCTATATAAACTAAGTAAGCAAAATTAAAGTATTAATCTTTTATTAAACTTTCCCATTTTTAAACTATTAAACTAGTCATCTTTCACTGAAATTTTAATATCAAACGGAATGAAAAATAAAAAATATTGTGACCTTAAAGACGCCAAAAGTGCAACCCGTAATAGGATAAATAATGCCTCATCATTACAATCTTTTGAAAAACAAGGATAAAAAGAAAATAACGAGACGATCGATCAACTATATATCATTCTAACGTCCCATGTATAAGTCATTTTATCGTGCTAGGTTCTTCTGATTTTGAGCATGTGCAAGTTCGAATGCCATGGCACTTTCCTGAAAGTCGATATTTTCGTCTCATCAGGGGATGGAATTTCCTTGTCGATCTCAGCTATTGATGCTTTTTCTATCAATCTCAGACCAGTAATACCCGTATCGTAACTGAACATCCTACGATGTCGTTTGACATCTTGATTAGCGACGTTCCAATTTCTTGTACCCGGATCACTGACCACGCGTCGATGTTTCCTGTGATGATGATGATGACGACGACGATGATGATGATGATGGTGATGACGTTGCATTATTCTAGACGATCTTATAACATCTTCTGAATATTGCGGATCTACAGTAGATGTCGCGATATAAGATAAAGAGTTTGGATCAAAGTAGAGCCGATTGTCGACGAAAGGAACGAAACTCATCGAATTCGTCATCCATGAATTCGAATTAAATATTTTCTTTGGAGTTCTCTGAATCGTGGTGGACCATTCGTTGTCCTGTTGTAAATTAATGGTCACATTTCTGCGACAATAAGAGTCATGCGATCTTGGTTGTAATCTGTGAAATGTATTTTCAATTATGTCTATAAAATTTTAATTATTTTTTATATAAATATCATTATGTACATCATATAAATATGAATAACAAACCTCGAGGAACATAGCATTCTGTGTCGTCAGTTGAGCGGATGCTCTCCTCTTGGCATTCTATAACATTTATTCCACGCCTCTAATAACAACACACAACTATGGAATCGATAAAAAATCAATAAAGGTAACCCAATCCTGGATATGACGCCCCAGGCGAGTACTCCAAAAAATCTCAATTGCAGTTCTTGTGAGATCCAATTCTGTGTAACCACAGTATCGAAAGCCCATAATACAGAATTACTGAATAATAAAAATGTAATCACTTGTCTGGCTGGTTTCGCTATTATTTGGAAACGAGTTATACAAGATCTCTTAGATGCTTCAGCGATCAATGTGCTTTGAGCAAAACATTGGATTAATTGTAAAATCGATGCCGTAAGTAGCATAATATGCCTTCCTCGTGTTTCATTGCTTTCATTCTCTAGAATAGCTAAGGAACAGGCAGAAACTACAATCGTGAAAATAGAGTATAACTGAACTCCAAAGAGAGCCACGTTTGATAATAAACTATCTAAGATGGCTGGTGCTCTAATAACGACAGACATTTGACGAACTTGAATAAGCCCACTAGCTGTCATTAAGGTACTCAACGTTAAAATGCTAGTTAAAGTACCGCAAGTTAACCAGGATAAGGTTGACGATGGAAAATGTTGATCTTCTCTTACGACAAGAAATATCAATATTACTACTATGCCCGCGACCATACACAATATGCCTAAGAATAATCCTTTGCTCGAACCATCGCATCCAACTTTAGTGTGACTTGTCAAATCTTTGCTGCCATGAAACTTTTGCTTATGTAATCGATTTCGACCGACGTTTTGACCCATTACAAAAGTCACTGCAGCAGCAATTAAACTAAAAGTATTAAAAGAAATATGAAATTTTTTTTTTTTTTTGAATAATTGGTATGTGAATTTTAAATTAAATAATATGTTATACATAAAATTTACCTAAATTGTACAATAAATGGATAAAGAAATGGCATACTCGATGTCCACAATTGTCCAAGAGTATTAGTATTCAAGCACTCTTGTAAAGCAATTACTTGTGAGATTTGTTCATCCGAGATAGGCTGATATGGTTGAAAAACTTGTTTTTCTACTGGAGAATGATCTAAAAATGAAAAATAAATAAAAAATAAACTTATATATTAATTGAAATAATGTAGTATCTAAATAACACATTTATTTATTTATAATTTGATAACTTCGATATATATATTTATAATATTTTGTCATGCATTAAAATCATTTTAATATATGAAATAAAACATACTTATCAAATCTCGAGTATGCCTTATCAAAGATTCTGGAAATCCTCGAAGATTCAATGGGGAAGCTGAATTGTGCAAACCGCGTTGTGCCAAATGAACAAAATAAGTCCATTCTTGAGCAGAATCCCAAATAACTAATCGAAACCAAACAGCAATATTTGTAGCAGCCAAATGGATGAATCCGAATCTCGCTACCAAACCGAATCTCTCTACAAGAACCTATAAATATTCAAATCAATTCCATTAATTTTATTAATCTAAATGTTTTTATAATTTTATAACAAAAATAAAATGGTAGTAGAATACTACTCACTTGCGAATTCACGAAAAGAAAATGCATTTGAAGAAATGTAAATAATCCATGAAGTACCGGATGTACGAAAACAACATCGCTCAAACATTCTGTGCCTTGCATCATGGAATGCATCGCCATTTCTAAACCATTGAAAACGAGAGTCGCCAAACCGAAAACTGTTCAAATATATTCATGTTTTAATTCTGTTTTTTTTTTTTTCGCTTTCTTCGCTCATATAAGATTATTACAAATTGAAATAACTGAAGAAACTCACGGAGCGCTCCAACTCGAATGTAAAAACTTGTTGAAGCTGTTCTAGATCGCGAGATGTGAGCACGTTTCAAAGATCCGAACCTGGTTAAGGATGTACCACCGAGTTCCGCATCGTCAACACCATTTGTACCGGTACCGAGACTTCCACAACTGTCTACCAATACCCAAATATAGATGCTGATAATCACTGCTATGCTTCCTACATATAAGTACATTAAAAATATGCCCTGCAAATAAGACAATAAAAACAAAGAATAAATAAAATAATATAATAAAATAATGCAGTTTCATTTTCAAATTGTATTGTAAAAGAAATTGTAAAAGCAAAAATATTTTATAGTAATATTTTATAGTATAAATCAAATATTATTGGTAATGGAAAAATATGGAAGTACTTTTTTTAATAGATATAAATTCAACTAGTAATAAATCGAAAATCATACTACAAGCTAACATGAGGTTGTAGGAAATTGCTTGTAATTGACTTGGAAAATATGAAACTAGGTCACAAACTGTACTAAGGTCAAAGAATCACATCGAATAACATGGTAGATAATCTTAGGTTGCATCTGAGCAAAGTTGAATCTATATATTATCAAGCTAAATTTATTAAAAGCATGAATAATAATATAATACAATAAATTTTCTTTACAACAATGAATAGATATTTTAAAAAAAAATTATAATAAATGCCTGACATATAACTAGAAGAGAAGTAGAAATAGACACATAAAAAAAAAATTATAAGTATTTATGATGAAGATATCTATAGAAAAATATAATTGCTTTGATTAACAGTTGAATGGAATTATTGTATATATAACTAACATTGTCATATCGTTATTTAAACATAAAAAAAATATCCTAAACGTAAGAAGTCTACAAAGCAAAATTTTTTTAATTAATAATAATAATGTATCTTTGTAATTATATAAATAATTTTATTCTAATCCTTCTACTTACTTATAGAATAAATAACTTACTTATAGAATAAATAAACTTAAACTACTTACTTGTAAACTGAGCAAAGGTACAGGTGTGTCCATGACTTCGGCTAAGCATAGAGCAATCATCAGTACTACGAGAAGTTGACCATAAACATTCGAAAGGATGATCCATAACTGAGAACTGCAACACAATCATCATAAAAAGCAATCATTAACTACGCGATCTTTATTATCCCATTTTCACTGAAAATATGAACTATTTACATTCATCATAAGTTAATGACAAATAATACTTACAGTGTTATTTTAACAAATTAATTTAATTTTTAATCTCAGTTTCAATCCTTCGGTAAAAATTATTAAATACAATTTATGCATAATGATTCAATATTTTGCGTATCCTTCATATAATTCAAATTAAAAATTTTATTTTTATTTGTTAAAACTATATAAGGAATTATATAGTACTACGTATAATCGTAATATCTTACAAAGGTTCAGAATGATCCAATAGGTCGTTTGAAGAGTGTGTCCTAGAAAGGATTCTGGAGACCAGAGACTTGGACGGAGCAGATCTCGTTCCCTCTGCAATTGCTGTCTCTGTCTCGGTGTTCCTTTCACCCCTATTGGGGACACCGCCAGGTGTACCCTCCACGGTGCCACCTGTTGTACTTCCTGTCTCGTTTAAACTATCCTTATCGTGTTGTTCATTGCTGACTGAAATAGATAAATATGCAAAATAAGCAATTGAATATATAAATAATAAATTATATATTGATACAAATAATTTTTTAAGCATTCTTTGCAAAGTTTTGATTATACGAATTTTATTAATTTTATACTTCTTATATATTTCATTATTAATTTTTTTTATCTAAAATATGAATCAAGTTTGAAAAAACCAAGAATATTTTTTAATTAGAATATAAGAAAAAATAGATAAATAGATATATAATAAATAAAGATTAATTTAAAAACAATAGTATATATAAATATAAAATAGCAGTAATATATAAAGTGTATATATAAGAGAAATTAGATGAAGAATGGCCACAAAACTCAGAACATGAAGAGTGCATTATTAAACTACATATGAATCAAATAATTATATAGATTTCAAAAACTTACTAATCTTAAATCTTTTTTAACTCATATAAATAGACTAGAACAACTATTTTATTTTCTTCATAATCCATTAATTAAAAAGATTCGGTAATCAATAAACAAATACTTGCACTAAATTAAAACTATATAAAATTTTATGTAATATATATATATATATATATATAAATCAATATTGATATCCGTTGAAATTGAATAATATTGAAAGATTGTTAAAATTTTGAAATGATTTTAAAATATTCTAAAAAAATATTTTATATTTAAACATTTTCATTAATAAATATTGACTTTAATAAATAATAAATGCTAAACAATTTCTATTTTTTTATATTTTTTCTTCAATTTGATGAATTAAATGAAACAATATTTCATGAATCAAAACTGAATTAACATAAGATTCAATTAGTTTCGAAAGCTAAGGTTATATTATTATTTTAAATATTAGAAAAGTGAACTTACAGAACATAATTAACGTGTATGAATATAAAGAATCAAAATATGGTAATTATTTTAAAAAGATTAGAAAGAACAGCAACAAATTTGAAAATAATAGAACAAAATTTTAACAAATATTTCGTATTAGAATGAAACAACCATTAGAACATCATTTCAATAAATCTGAACTTAGCTAAATGAACATATACACGTCAACTTTCAAAATTAACTTTCTCGAAAATGAATAATTGTATATTGTAGTCTACTAATTTAATCTTTCCGCGAAAGATGTAGTTATAAATGTTTATGCAAGTTCATATTTGAAAGATTGATAAACAAGTGAAACTTGTTGAATAAAAATAGATTTTATCATCTATTAATTATATTAATTAATTATATTAATTGGTTATATTAAAATATATTTTGCTTTCAAATGTTTTTATATATTGTATTTTTATATATTTTTTATATTTATCATGTACAAATCGTAAAAATTATATTATTTCTTATTTCAGATCAAATTTATTTTTAAAAAAAAATTTATCTTTATGATTCTCAAACTTAATAAAAAGAATTTTAAAGATAAGTTTTTCTATTCTTAAAATTTATATATATATATATATATGTATATACATTCACGAGAAACTGTTATTAAGAAATATATATATTTATTATTAATAACAATAAAGTCGATTTTTGAATTTGTTCCCGAATTTTATTCGGAAATCCATTAATTGAATCCATTCTTTGGCCTTTTGGGTTAGTAGAGTAATACGATTAACTTTCGCTACAAGAATTCGTACATCCAACTGTTCCTTCGATAATTTCGACTCGAATGATTTAAAGACGCTTTAAGTGCGACGAAACGGATCCGAGAGTTGTAAAAGTTGATCACTTTCGAATCGATCGAAATCGAAAATCGTAGATGTATCGATATTTGAAAAGAAGATTTTAATGAATTAAAAGTATGGTGTAATCTATAATAAGGATTGATATGATTTATTTTTTAGATTCAAATAAACATTTGGATTATATATCTGATTAAACTGATTAAACTATTTGAAACTCATGTACATTTAAAATTTAGTTTGAATTTAATACAATACCATAAGATAATACAATACCAATAAGATAATAAATACAATCAAAATTAATTATTAATTTTTAAATCATTAACTTAACATATTCATATTGCATTTAATATCTCGAAGTCAAATAATATTCGAGATATATGAATAAATCGATTGAATAGATGTTGATATCGATAGGAATCTTGATTGCTCTTAGTAAAATAAAAAACGATTACGATTACATGATTTTAAGGATTATTCATAATATTCTATGATAAATGAACAGTGTCGATTTGTTTTAAATTTGCAAAAGATAAAAAAAGATAAATCTTTGCAAAAGAGAATTCTGTTATTCATAGTACGAAATATATTATATTACGTATTTAATTTTAACATAAAATTGATAAAATTTATCGAGGATAAATTTTTTATTATGGAATGTCCATATATGAAGTTGAGGTTAAAAGTAAATACAATATTCAACAATCATTTTATGAAAATTCTCAGCATTAATGAAATTGAAAAGCAGCATATGAGCATATGCTTGATAGATACTAATGGAAGAGGCCAAGAAACGGTAGGGAAAGGAAAAATGTGCAAGATCGCTTTAGGGTTAAAGATATCGATAAATCTGAACATTGTATAAGTAAAATTGAGGTTAGGTCTCTATTAGAATAAAAAATTTGTTTATTTGAATGAAGATAGCTTGCTACTAAATTATGGGAAAATACATGATGCACTTAAGTGTATATAGCCAAATAATATAATCATAGTGAAATACACAAATTTCAAATTTCATCTAACAAATTTGTAATTAGAAAGAAATTTGTAAATATATTTGTTTTAAATATGTAATTAAAATACTTTGAAAAATATATCGTTTATTCAAATTGCGTTTAATTAATTTATAAATTAACGACTGTCCAAAATAGTTTACATAATTAATTATATTGTTACAATGATTAATTATAATATTAAAATATGCTAATTTCAACAATAAATTAAATTAATATTTAAAAATAATTTTAAGAAATTCATATAATGATTTATCTATTTAAATAAAAATGATTTAAATTTAAAAAATTTATTTGACTAAACAATCTTGTTACTAATTAAATTATATAATAATAACTTGATTTAGAATTTATGATATTTATGATTATTCGCATATTCAAATAATTAAACATCAAATATTCATATTATATGTATAGATACATATGTAATGTTTTTTAATATTTTTGATATCTTTATATCTCTTTGAAACGATTTGTATGATATTTTTGATATCTTTATATCTCTTTGCCGATATTGTATGAAATAAAATGTGAAATTTTATGATTCAGCTAATATAAAATTGGGTCAATATGCTGCACTGTGAATTTAAGATTTTATGGTTTATCATGAATTGCGTTTGTCATTACGATTCCAGGGAATTGTAAAAAAAAAATAGAAACTTGTTTGTCAGCTGACGGAAGAAGTCGAGAAATTCATTTACTTTTTGATACATTGCAAAAACATAAAATCTTCGAAGTTTTATTTATTTATCATAAATCATAAAATCAAATGAAACTTGTTATTGATAGCATTCATAATATCATTTTTTACAAGAAAAAACTAATGATTCTTTTATATTAATATTTTCATCTAAATATTCGATATAAAAATACTTTTAATAAACTAATAAATAAAATATAAAATACAATAAAATATTTATAATAAAGATATATAAATTAAAGATATATTTAAACAAAGATATTGAATCATTTAATTATTACTAATTAATATATTTACAAATGGATAATTTAGTCATTATTTAAATGTTTCAGAAATAACAAAAACAAACAAAAATAAGAAAAATCTTAAAATATAAATTTTAAAGAATCATATGATCATATTCTATATGATTTAGATATTCATATCTAACATGAGTTATTATTATTTTAACATATATTTTTATCACCATAATTTATGCACAATTAAAAAATATAAAAAAAAAATCCGTTACTTAGACCATCTGTTGGAAATATTAATAGAAAAAAATTTACCTCGCTTTTGTCAAAAGAAAACAATTGTTATCACTAGTCACTAGACTCGAATCATCGTTCATGATAAACATCAAAGAGCGAAGGAGAAGCACAATGATGAACCGCGAATTGCAAAGAAACGACAAAGGAGAAGTGCTTCAGACACAATCACAAAACGGAATGGCTAGTAACTCAGATGTATGGAACCAACAGTATATCAAATGGTCTAGAATACGAAACGGTGGTGGTATTCCAATGATGAGGACGAGCATTACGCCTATGATGATAATGAAGATGACCACAAAAATGATGATGTCGTTTCTAGTAGCCTCGTTTTTAACAGACCGATAAAAGTGCACAATCAACGTGTAGTCGCTTAGCTTATGTCGCTACTTATTTTTGCTAATAATGAAAACCTAGAGAATATATGAAATTTTACATAAAATTGGAAAACAACCTATAATTTAACAAAGAAACGTATTATAATTAACTTGCAACTTTGTAAACAACCTTGCATAGTATGCATAGTAAATATTGCAACAATATTTTGAAAATATATTTTTTTTGCATTTCTTTCTTTTGTTTTATCGTGTATTGCAATAGTACTGTACAAGAATTTCCAAATTTAAAAATTATTAATAAATAATGCATATAAAATACGCAATTAAAAAATCCGGTTTAAGAATCTTCTGTAATTTTGCAATCCGCAAATGAACACGCAAACCAAGTAAATCGAAACTGGTTTAGTTTTATCATGATCGAGATCAAGATAAAAATAGAAGATGATTAAAGATTATCACGTTGCAAGACAGTTTTGCATGCCAATATGCAGATTATTCGGCGAACCAAACGCGAGACATTGAGATTAATACGAATAAGCAATCCTGTTATAATCTAATTAATCGTTTGTCTCTTATAGTGATTACACTGAACGTTGACTTATCATAATGCCCTATTCGTGTTGAAAGAATGTTAAGGGTTAGAAGGAAAGACTTCACTGCAACCACCTGTTGTATAAATTATCGGCATTATTTGTGATTCATAAACATTCATGCTATATCTTTTT